ACCCGGCCCAGACCCGGCAACAGGACCGCACCCCTCGGCGCCGCGCCCGCACCTCACTCAGCCAGTGAGCGGGAACCGGTCTGTATGTGGGATCCGAACCCTTGGCAGGAGCGCCACCGCGCTCCCAAGCGGCACACTGTAGCAGTGCGCCACCGGGCCGGCCCCGTTCTACCATAATCCTTAAAAGTAATTTCCTGCTCCAAAGGAACTTAGATATTTTTGAGAATTTTCTTCTCCTTTTTGTCAATTTACTCTACAAGTGGAATATTAACCCATTTCTCCTTCACTCTGGTATTTCTCAATAAGAAGATGGACTAATAACTAGTATTTATGGAGCAAAATATTCCAGTCTGTGTGTACAAGTGGGATCCCTTGCTGAACCCAGCAAGATCAGAGAAGGATTCTCTCCCATTGTCCATAGAGCTGTGAACTCTCCTTGTCCATGGGGTTTGAGAGCTCCATGCAGTTTTCCTCTAACCTGTAATGTGTATCTCCAGTCTATGACGGCAGTGAGGAAGAAGATGAAGACTATGGGCTGGCACCCAGTGTGGAGGAAATCCCTGAGGATGCAGTCTGCTTGGTCATGAAAAGGGAGAACAGCCTTCATGGAACACTTAGTCGCAGGTTGGTCACCTGTTCAGCTGGCAGCCCTCATCACTTCCGCGTTTCCACTTGATCTTTCTCCTTTCCTCCTTGGGCTTTTCCTGAGAGAGTGGACACCATGNCATCCAAAGTCCCTGAAAAACTCCTTGAAAATTCGGAATGTGAATACCCTGAAGGAGGAGGAAGAACCAGTGAAAGGACAAAAACTAATTAAGAAGGAATTCCTGGAAACCGGAAAGGTGAACACCACACAAAAAAGTACCATTTGAAGTGATATGAGGCTTGGAATCTAAAAAATTTAGATGAAACTTGAATACATGCCCTCAGGAGTAATATGTCCTATGTCCATTGCAAATCTTCAAATTCATTATTAAAATGTTAGTTGGGGCTGCGGGCTTTCTATCAAATTGTATTTCAATGAAGAATGACATGTGTCCTGTGAATATCCTCATCCCAAAGTTCATGAGTATTTGATTCTATCCTGATAAGTAGAGAACAAGTAACTGCTTTGGGATGCAATTCTGGCAGCCAGGGAACACTAATTTATAAGACGCAGTGGATGCAATTCAAATTAAAACTTAAAGCAACAGACTTCAAGATCTTCAGTATAGCCTCATCCGTTCCACTCTGAAAATCGTTCCCTTTGCATCTAGAAGCTCATAATGATTTCCTGATGGCTATTGACCTTTCATTGTGTTTCAGCATTGATCTATTATCTTGACCCAGTGCAGAAACAGTGACCAGAGACTACCAAATTTTGCTATCTGCTACCCGCCTTTTTAAGGGACTCCAATCCTTGTGATTGGTGTTCTAGTTAATTTCTCATCAAACCATTAGGGAGTTCTACTGATACTCAGTTGGGGTTTTGCAGGTGAAGTTTTCCATCTACATGAAATACCTACAGGCAATAGGATGGTATTCAGTATCCTTCATCATCTTTGCCTTTGTGATGAATTCTGTGTCTTTTATTGGATCCAATCTCTGGCTCAGTGCTTGGACCAGTGATTCAAAAATCTTCAACAGCACTGACTATCCAGCCTCTCGGAGGGACATGAGACTTGGGGTCTATGGAGCTCTGGGGTTAGCACAAGGTATGTCTGATGGCTACGACAGCCATCTCTTACAGAATCTGTCTGGACCTTGTAGTATTCCTGGACTCAGGAAAACCTTTGCCATTATGTCCCCGGCACAAGTTTTCAGGATCTCTGTGCATGGTATTGACAAAACTGGTTCTACTTTCAGGTATATGTGTGCTTGTTGCAAACCTCTGTAGTGCCTACAGTTTCACCCACGCATCAAACATCTTGCACAAGCAACTACTGAACAATATCCTTCGAGCACCCATGAGCTTTTTTGACACAACACCCATAGGGCGAATTGTGAACAGGTTTGCTGGCGTAAGTACCTCAGGGGTTATAAGGTGGTGCCTTGTACACTGAGGGTCTTTCTCTTTCTCACAAAGAGGAATCTCGTCCCTCCAGACAATACTGTGCACTTCCAGTCCTGTTGTTCCTTGGCATGCAGATGTTTCTTGAGTATCGCCTGTGAGGTCCCAAGGATCTGGGGATACAGAAGGGATGGACAGTGCTGGCTGTTCTAATAGCTCACTGTCTAGTGAAGGAGACAGCCAAGGAAATCACTGATTATGGTGGAATATGGTAAAACCAATAAAAACGGTATTACAGAAGTGTTCTGGGAGCACAAGGGAATAACAGAAAAAAGAGATACTAGTAGCTCAACCTGGGTGACTGAAAGTGGGAATGTCAGAAAAGGTGAGACTTGAGTTAAATCTTACAAGTAAGCCCAGGAAACGGTGAGGGTTCTGGTTGGGGAGGGGAGCAGGGGAGAGACAGTAGCAGCAGGCTTATTCTACAGATGGAAAAACATGAGTAAAAGCACTGTCACTACCACTGACAGTAAATAAAAGGGATAGTAAGTTAATCGTTTGGTTGGTCTCTATCTCCATTCTGGAAACTTCCATCTTTGATGTTTTAAGCATCAGTGAGTTAGGTCTGGATTATGGAATAGAGCCATCTGTGATTTTAAAAAGGTTATCAGACATTGTTTCNAGGGAAGCTTCCCTCTCTCAATCTCTCAGTTCTAGGTCCAAAGGCAGACATCCAAAGTCCCTGAAAAACTCCTTGAAAATTCGGAATGTGAATATCCTGAAGGAGGAGGAAGAACCAGTGAAAGGACAAAAACTAATTAAGAAGGAATTCATGGAAACGGGAAAGGTAAACACCACACAAAAAAGTACCATTTGAAGTGATATGAGGCTTGGAATCTAAAAAATTTAGATGAAACTTGAATACATGCCGTCAGGAGTAATATGTCCTATGTCCATTGCAAATCTTCAAATTCATTATTAAAATGTTAGTCGGGGCTGCGGGCTTTCTATCAAATTGTATTTCCATGACAAATTACATGTTTCCTATGAATATCCTCATCCCACACTCATGAGTGTTTGATTTGACCTTGATGTGTGGAGAACAACAAACTGCTTTAAGATGCCATTCTGGGGCCAAGCCCGTGGCGCACTCAGGAGAGTGCGGCGCTTGGAGCACTACAGCGCTCCCGCCGCGGGTTTGGATCCTATATAGGGATGACCGGTGCGCTCACAGCCCTCACTGGCTGAGCGCGGTGCGGCCGGTCTCAAAAAGGACAAAAAAAAAAAAAAAAAAAAGATGCCATTCTGGGAGCCAGGGAACACTAATATGTCCCACCCAGAGGTCGCAGTTCAAATTAATAAAACTTAAAGTGACAGACTTCAAGATCTTCAATATAAGCACATCTGTTCCACTCTGTTTTTAAATATTCCCTTTTGCCTCTAGAAGCTCATAATAACAACCTGATGGCTATCAACCCTGCATGGTTTTTCAGCATCGATCTATTATCTTGGCATGGTACAGAACCAGGGACCAGAGAGTACCAAATTTTGCTATCTGCTACCCACTTTTCAAGGGACTCCACTCCTTGTGATTGGTGTTTTATGTACTTTCTCATCAAAAGCCATTAGGGAATTCTACTAATATTGAGTTGGGGGCTTTGCAGGTGAAGTTCTCCATCTACCTGCAATACCTACAGGCAATAGGATGGTATTCAGTATCCTTCATCATCTTTGCCTTCGTGATGAATTCTGCATCTAATATTGGATCCAATCTCTGGCTCAGTGCTTGGACCAGTGACTCAGAAATCTTCAACAGCACTGACTATCCAGCCTCTCGGAGGAATCTGAGACTTGGGGTCTATGGAGCTCTGGGGTTAGCACAAGGTACATCTGATAGCTACAACAGACATCTCTTACAGAATCTGTTAAGACCTTGTAGTTTTCCTGGACTCAGGAAAACCTTTGTCATTATGTCCTGGGCACAAGTCTTCAGGGTCTCTGTGCATGGTATTGACAAAACTGGTTCCACTTACAGGTGTATGTGTGCTTGTTGCAAACCTTTGGAGTGCCTACAGTTTCACCCACGCATCAAACATCTTGCACAAGGAACTGCTGAACAATATCCTTCGAGCACCCATGAGCTTTTTTGACACAACACCCATAGGGCGAATTGTGAACAGGTTTGCTGGTGTAAGTACCTCAGGGGTTATAAGGTGGTGGCTTATACACTGAGGATCTTTCTCTTTCTCAGAGGGAGGAATCTCATGTCCCCCCAGACAACACTGAACACTTCCAGTCCTTTTGTTCCTTGGCATGCAGATGTTTCTTGAGTATCTCCTGTGAGGTCCCAAGGATCTGGGGATACAGTAGGGATGAACAGCGCTGGCTGTTCCAGTAGCTCACTGTCTAGTGAAGGAGACAGCCAAGGAAATCACTGATTATGGTGGAATATGGTAAAACCAATAAGACCACTGTGCACAGAAGTGTTCTGGGAGCAAATGACAAAGAAAAGAGGTACTAGTAGCTCAGCCTTGGTGACTAAGGGTAAGAAATGTCAGAAAAGATGAGACTTAAGTTAAGTCATACAAGTAAGCCCAGGAGATGGTAAGGGTTGGGGTAGGGTAGGGAGGGACAGTAGCAGCAGGATTATTCTGCAGATGGAAAAACATAAGTAAAAGCACTATCACTACTAGTGATAGTAAATATAAGGGATAGTTGTTTAACCCTTTGGTTGGTCTCTGCCTTCATTCCTGAAACTTCCATCTTTGATGTTTTAAGAATCAGTGAGTTAGGTCTGGATTATGGAATAGAGCCATCTGTGATTTTAAAAAGGTTATCAAACATTTTTTTCCACTACTGCAGATCCTGGAACCCTTGGCATTCACTCATTCCACAGCATTCACTGAGCACCTTCTATGAGCCAAGTACTATAGAAGGCGCTGAGGCACTTGATAAATGTTAAGATCATAAATGGCTTGCTTCCATGGCCAGACCCAAGTCATCATTTTTAATGCATCTGAGATGGAAGTTTCAGGAACAGACGCAGAGACCAAGAAATTCTGAATGATATTCAACAATCTTCAACACAGTTTTTAGTCCTCTGCTTGTGGAAGAAAAAGCACATTTAAAAAACTGTCTGAGCCAGCTCTGGACCCTTATTTGTTTGGTCTTGGGGCAGACACGAAAAGGGTAGCTCACAGCCCACAGCCAGGTTATGGGCAGTAACTGCTTCAAAAGTGGGCAGGTAACTGGTTTTGTCAACTTCCTGTGGGGCAGAAATAATGGGCATGAAGTAACTGGAGACAACTGCAATGGGCTGTCTTTTCTTTAATAGAACCTAGAAGAGCACACAATTTTGTATGGGGAAACTTCTCACAGGAATTTTGCAAAGACTGAATAGTCTTTTCCCATGTTACAATGTGTATAATTAATCTTCTGGAAAAGAGAACACAGAGGTCTTCCAGTGAGTTACTTAGGCAACAGTTGTACTTTGCTGACTGCTCTTACATGAAAAAGGAAACTGTCATTAATTATATAGTAAGTTTTCTGCGGGATGTGGATCAAGCCTGTTAAGGGGAGTTTGATTTAGGGTCCTCTAGAATCAATGGCTGAGTCACTAAGAGGAGATGGAGTAGAGGAAAGAAAGATGGATAATTTGTGCCAGATAATGTTAAAAGTAATCTGCTTAGAACTGACAGCTGGTGAGGATCTCTTTTTTCTGCCAGCCCTGGACATAATTATCTGCATTTTGTTGTGACTTTGGGAAAGGTAGATTAGACTCAGGAGTCATCCATGATTCATGACTCTTTTGGAAGAATCATTATCCCTGACCTAGTTTGGGAAACTTCAGAGATAATTTGGACTCACCTTGGAACTCACATTTTATTCATTGTAGAATCAATATAATCCTCTAAGAAATTTAAGTAAGGCAACCCAAAATATAAGCCAGGCTTCCTGAGTGTGTTCCAAACCATCCATCTATTCATTAATTTTCTCATTTATTTATTCTTTCCATGTGGCACAAAGGCAATACATCGGTAAGACCCATCCATCACCTCTGGGTTCCTTGGTTAGAACACTGGCCAGGCAGGGCTCACATTCAATCCCACCTCCCATCCCCTTGAAGCTCTATTGCTTGACAGAGGAAACAATTCCCAGGTGTAGGATGGTCCTTCAGTCGGGGTGGGCAACAGGACCTTTTGACTGGAGTCTCCAAACAAATGCTTATTGAATGCCTGTTATGTGTCAGGCTCTGTTTTATGTACCCAAAGGAATTAGGACCTGTGTGAAGTTAGAATAACTGAACTGGCTTGGTTATGGGAGAAGAACTTACCTGTAAGGCTCTACTAGCCTACAATGATTATGAATGGTTTAATAAATTTGACATATACTAATTTCACTGAGAAGAGTGAAAACCAAATCTATTGAAAAGGTGAAGGATGACTCCCATATACATGAGGAGGGATTTTTGAAAAAAGTGAAGAAATTACAGAAATCAAATTGCTTATTGGGGTGAGCAGTAAAATTTATGCAAACAATATCATGAAATGATTAGATGAAGGACTACAGAGAATCTAACAGGTTCCCTGCTGGAACCAGGAAGATGTAAAAAGTCTTAGAAATTCTTCATTGCACCATCTCTCCTAATTGTATTCCTAGGATATTTCCACAGTGGATGACTCCCTCCCTATGTCCTTGCGCAGCTGGGTGATGTGTTTCCTGGGGATAATCAGCATTCTTGTCATGATCTGCATGGTCACCCCTGTCTTCACCATAGTCATCATTCCTCTTGGCATTATTTATGTGGCTGTTCAGGTAGGTTTGGAAATGGCCAGGTGTTCCTTCCTCTCTACTTATAAAAGCCCAAGCTCCTTCCTGAGAATCTTCTCTTTTGTTTATTGCCTAGCCTCTCACTAGTTCCCAGCATCTTTGCCATTTGGTCATGTATTAATATACTGAGGGGCCCACAGGCCACTCCCTGAAGCTGAAGAGTCAGCATCAATTGGGGTATGATTCACAGCAAATCTTACCCAAAGTACTGCCCCCCAGAAGCTTAAGTGGGACAGTTATGTATGGATCCTAGGCTACTTGGAGATTGGCTCTGGACGGTCTTGCAGCTCCATAAAAAAACGCCACAATGGGTAGGTCATTTCTAGAAGAGTTGTGCCATGGCTGCTTCCTTGGTTGGCTTTGAACAGACGTGTCTACTTGAAGATGTGTCTCAGCAGGAGCTAGATCTCTTTTTGTTCCATTTAAGGGCATTTCTAGTTTCACTGGTGTATCTGTGGATGGTTTAGGCTCAATTCCAATGTATTCTTTGAGAGAACAGGTAGCTTGAGAGCCTAGCCCCACAGAAAAACTGGAACAAAGAGGAGGTCCCCATGTCCATAATAAAAACTGATGCCTGAGGAGAGGGCATCTGTGGGCAGAACTCTTGTCTCACCAGTTGTCTTGTGATGGACTGACTGTCACCTACGGCAAAACAGTTCCACAGACCCTATAGTCAGGGTCTTGTGGCCTTGTGGCCTGTGGTAAGGTGGCACTCTGGTGTTTGTGTGCAGTTCCTCAGGTACATAACAACTTTCTGACTGTAAATAACAAACCAGCAAATGAGAAGCAGGATGATTTGAGGAAACTTCCATGTATAGCATTTCACATTCTGACTCTCAAATGCCTAGTTCTTCCCAGGTTTCAGTAAATCCTCACAGAATCTAGCAGCACCACTAACCCATTCTACCATCCCTTGTCCTTCAGGCCAGTGGAGATTCTGCCTGCATTCGGTTACATCCAGTTCCAGTTCTCATACCCTCAGTGTTCTGCACACCTCCAGAACTGCCTTTACCTTCACACACCACTGAGGCACAGTTCTGGATACTTAACTGTTCTTCCGTTTTCACCCAAACCTCCGCTGACCTTTGTCTGGCCATTTTCTACCCATCCCCACTTTACGCTCCCCTCGGGTCCCAGCAGCCCTTACAAACTCCTTTTGGAGACCATTTCTCTAACCAGTACAGAAACTGTCATTTGGACAATATATGCAGATTTGGGAGAAAATATGGATTAGCTGACAAAACTCCTCACGTGGTTTGGAAAATCAAACCTCTAAGGTGTGATAAAGTCTCCTCACTTTCACCCTCCTCTGTTCCCACCAACCCAATCTTCCATTGTTCTCCTCTGGGGCTCTCACTGCTCTTCTAGCCAGAGAGGATGCTGCAGGCTTTGGTCCTGTTGAGATTGTTTTTCTTAGATCACAGAATAATTGGAGCTAATTCTAATAAAGAAATAGAGTCTGATACAACAATATAATATATCCCACTGCAGCAGCCCCAGCATGACTAGGAGATAAATGCCAGCCATTAGTATTTCCCAGCACTTAAGACAGTGGCCAGCATTACAGAAACTGTTCAGTAAATAGTTATCCAATAAATGTGTCACTTGACCATCTTTCAGGGTATCTTTTCAACTAATTTTGGGGGATTTGCATAGCCACAAGTGAGCATTACATACTGCTGACTTCATTAGAAGTTAATAAGGCCCACTGTGATCATTCCAAGGCACCCAGAAGGACTCTGTTATTCACCATAGTCACTTGGTTCCTTGTGCCACTGCTTAATCCCCCCATTTCGAGTTTTATTGACCCAGGAAGAGAAGGCAGAGGGTCAGGAAAGTGTTAGATTGAACCGATACAAAACCACTCAAATATCAGCAATTACATGTGGTTCAATCTTTACAAAGTGGTTACTCTTAGTCCCCGTGATCCTGTCCTCTGCAGTCTGTGGCTCCCTTTTTCTAACCACCCTTCACTCAACAAAAAGTCCCTGTGCTTACGTGCTAACTCTCAAGTCTTTGCCTGAAAGAAGCTTGCATCTGAGTAATCCACAGATTACCTGGCCTCTAGACTGGTCTGGACATGACAACCCTTTTATTTGTGGTTAGATGTATCTTTGTACTGGCAGGGAGGCACCTGGAGTTTATGGGAGTACAGGAGGACAAGGGTCCATGTGATGGCCCCATCTTGAGGGCTGATGTTGAGGGACAGCAGAGGAAGGAGGCAGCTTTGATAGCAGAGAGGAAGGAGGCAGCTTTTTGGAAGTCCTTTTCCTGCCCTGTGTCTTTTCTCTTGCTCTTTCCTGTTTGAAGACTGCCGTCCATGACCACTTGCACAAAGGGCACTAATATTATAGGCAGGAGACCTATGTTCTTGTCCCATTCTACCAATTGCCAGCCTCTCCAACCCCAGCTTTAGCCCCAAACCACTCCAAGCTCATGTTGCCCTTCATGAGAGCACCACACAGTTGAACACTTAATCATTCTCCAGCCATTCAATGCACTGGTCTTATTTCCTGCTCCAAGGAGGTGAGGATTATCTTTCTTCCTTTTCCTTACTCTCTCACACAGTCCAGCACAGTGCTGGGTACAAAGTATGCACTGACTGACGTTGTGGTTTGACTAGTGAGTTGGTTTCAGAGCCTGAGATGATTTCCAGTTGTTTGGTTTTTCTGTAGATCACACAAAACCTGAACTGGCTAGTGAGGATGACATCAGAAATAGAGACCAACATTGTGGCTGTTGAGCGAATCAATGAGTATATAAAAGTGGGAAATGAGGTAAGAGTAACCCAGGGACAAGGCAAAAATCCTACGACACCTTTGAGAGAGCATCTTTACCATTTCTCGATATTTCACATGGGTTCATAATGGTTCTCCTAAAGATTCATTTGCTCTAATTCAAAGGACCTAATTTCTTCAAACTTAGACTAGGAAATGGTTTGGGAGAAGTCAGGGCTTGGAATGCCCCGAGTTAAGTGGCAGCTTCATTCTGGAGATCTACAGAGCAACCGCATGGAACAGAAATTCTTTAATTGAATAAGAAACCTTCTGGAAGTACAAGTCCAGTTCAGTCTATCTGGTGCAAATGCTCTCAGGTAGCTGGGACACAGCTATCTTCTTCCCATTCTGTGACATGAGTCCTATGAGGACTGTTCGGCTGAGTTCGCCATGTAAAGCACTTCTCATCCTGTCTCGTGCCAGGCACCCTGGGTGACCGATAAGAGGCCTCCAGCAAGTTGGCCCAATAAAGGTGAGATCCGCTTTAGCAACTACCAAGTACGGTACCGGCCTGAGCTGGATCTGGTACTGAAAGGGATCACTTGTGACATCAGGAGCGCAGAGAAGGTAGGTGGACTGAAGGAAGGCCTTGTGATCAGAGGACAGTTGGGCAGAGTGGAGAGTAGCTGGACAATGGGCCTTCATTGTGTGGATGGAGGCAGAGGGTCAGGGCACTTCCTCTGCCCTGGGGAGGTGTAGGGACACAGCACCACCAGTAGAGGGCAGGATATGAGCAAGGGGTCAAACAGACACTGCAGCTGGCAGGGCTTTGTGTTCAGCTCTTCCCTACCTCCCTGCCAGCTGAGCAGGGCTCATTTCCTGTAGGGGCCACAGCATGTAGAGAAAAAATCAGGAAGGAAACGAGGGAGTGCCAGGTCTTGGGAAGGAAATGTTGAGAAAAGCAGTGTGGAGGATTGTCCCTGAAGAGACAATGGCCTAGTTTTCCTCTGGTCTGCAATGTCAGGCACTCTCCTATGGTGCTCCTGTTCTCTGAGGACTTGGGATCTGAGGTTGGACCTGAAAAATCTGGGTAAGGATACTGAGGTCTAGGTGAAGGTCTGGCTCTCAGGTAGTGGCAGACCTGGTGTTTCCCTTCTCCTTGTTTCTAAACAATATTTTTTTTGGTCTTTTTTTTGTGGCTGGCTGTTATTGGGACCTGAACCCTTCACCTTGGTGTTATCAGCACAGTGCTCTTACCAAGTGAGCCCACTGGCTGGACAAGATTTTTTTTTTTAATTTATAATTTCCAACAATAATTATAATAACTGCTGAGAGTGTAGGTCCATATCCAACACTCAGTGAGTTTTCAGCAAGGAACGATTTAGGAGATAGGATGGGACATCTGTCTTTTTCTGACATCTGAGCACTTTTTTCCCCTCCCAAACCAAAATCAAGTCAATATATTACAGATAAAGTAGCCGGACACTACCTTTTACCACCTGTGCTTGTGAATGCCCAGGCTACATCATTTTTTCCCCAAGAATTATATGTTGAACTAACATGCATAGGAACTATATTCACAGATTGGTGTGGTGGGCAGGACAGGAGCTGGGAAGTCATCCCTCACAAACTGCCTCTTCAGAATCTTAGAGGCTGCAGGTGGCCAGATCACCATCGATGGAGTAGATATTGCCTCTATTGGGCTCCATGACCTTCGAGGGAAACTGACCATCATCCCCCAGGTGAGCTTTAGAATTTACTTTGGCACATGCAGGGGCGGGCAGCTTGTTCTGCAGGAAACGTGCATCTTCTTCTTGATGTATGCATCTTCTTCTTGATGTTTCTTCAGTTAACAGTGTCATTTCTACAGTCTACTCAGAATACTTGAGCTAGTTCCCTTAGACGCATTGTTTCCAGAATTAAAATAAGTTATGAATTTTTTTGTAATATGCATTTGTGACTGCCAGGATGTGACCAGTAGGAGGCAGTGACACAACAGAAGTGAAACAGAGCAGATGATTACTTAGCATTTCTATAGCCCATCATGCTTTGCAAGACCTCTGCAGTCAGCATTGGCAATTTTGCTGCTGAGGCTTGAAGCCATTAAGCTTTATACTCTCTATTTGATATGGATAAAACACAGAGTAGAGAATTTGCTGCAGGTTTCTGCCAGTAAGTGGAACACTTGGTGCATCAGCAAGAGAGACTTCCCTTTCGTTGGATTTCTCTCTGGACCCTGCCAAATAAAGATTGCCATGGAGGCTTCTCCACTCTCAGGTGGTATGTGGCTCCTTGTTAGAACCATTCCTCCTCAGCTCACTTTGGCAAGGTTTTCCTGGAGGTAGCTTTAGTTTGTCTGATGTTTGCTCAATTCCATACACTCTTATCCAGCCTCTTCAAAAACATAATAAACTCTTCTCATGGGATTTCACTGTCCCTTCCTCTACCTTCCCCTGAGTCCTCTACCGCTAAACCATGAGTTTTCATTTGGGAGTGTGCGACATTCCTCTCACCTAAGAGATGCTGTAGCGAATCTGGAAAACCAAATTAATTTTTTCAGAATGGAAAAGCAAAAACCAAAAACATCAAGGATTCCTCTTAGTTCTCTGCTTAGCTCCCTGGCTGGCAGCCAGTCCAGGCCTTTAAAGGGGAAACCTTGCAGAAGCTCGACCACGAACCAGCTATCTACCTAAGGAGTCAAGTCCATCCCAGGCCGGTCCTACCTGCTTTCTCCTAGCCACTAGGATCTACTAGGTCCTTTTCTGACCTTAGCCCCAATAGCCCTCTCATCCCTTGACTTGCAGGACCCCATCCTGTTCTCTGGAAGCCTGAGGATGAATCTAGACCCTTTCAGCAGCTACTCAGATGAGGAGATCTGGAAGGCCCTGGAGCTGGCTCACCTTAAATCCTTTGTGGCTGGCCTGCAACTTGGGTTGTCTCATGATGTGACAGAGGCTGGTGGCAATCTCAGGTAATGTATCAGAACCTACTTCTCCCACAGGCAGTGAGGAGATGTGAGGGGACCACATCTCATGTTCTTGGGTTAGGGGATGTCTGGCGTTGTGGAATTTTCACTATCCAGTTCTAATCCCTAATGTGTAAATTGAACCTGTTGTGAAGATCATATGATAAAATAGATGTGAAAGTGTTTTGAAACTGTTGAAATCCTTTGTTATGAAATGTACCCCTCATGTGACATTACATGATGTGAGCTTACAGATCCCACCGTTGTGGAGATTCACAGAAGGCAAAGTTTCTCAACTTAGCTGTGCACAGTCAGGATTAAAACAGTCCTGATGCCCGGTCCAAATCTGGAGTCTGACTTAACTGGTATGAAGTATAGACTGGACAAGGGGAGCTTTCAAGAATCCCCGTGGGGCTGTTAAAGGCATCCCAGTTAGAGAACCACTCATCTAAAGGGTGTGTGGATGGCATGACTGGGGATATAGTGTCTGCAAAGTCCTTAGGCACAGCTGAAACATTTAAATCAACATAAAGACTCTCTTGGCTTTCACGTTTCTTTTTACCTTTTCAAAGCATTTTCATATGTGTTGACACTTCAATTCTGGACTTCCCTGTGTGTTCATCTGTCTATTAATACGTTGACCTGCATTTTCTCCACAGCTCATGGACAATTCTTGCTCCTGCCTAGGGTGCCTCAGTAGTGATAGGCAAGGAAAGAACAACTAGCAATTGAAGCTCAAGAAAGAAGGGAGGGCTCAGTAGCTAATTAATAGACTAGCAGCTCTGGCTTTACCTGGGAGCTTGTTATAAATGCAAAATCTCAGGCCCTAAACCTACTAATTAAAATCTACATTTTAGCAAGATACCCAGCTGATTTGCATGCACATTACAGCTTGAGAAGTGCTGCCGAGAGCACTTATTCTTAACTAAGCTGCATACTAGAATTGTTCAGGAACCTTTAAAAAATCCCAAAGCCCATGCTGTACCCAGAACAGTGGGATCAGAGACCCAAGTGATTTCAGGGTATAGTGCCAGGGAACACTTTCAAGTGTTGGTAGGGAACACTATCATTTTGTTTTCTCTCAGCAACATACCTAGGAACTGGCAGGACTTAAGTAGTTCTTTAGGCCAGTGTAAAAGACCATTCCAACATTCAGTCAACAAACATATCAGTACCTACTATAAGCTAGGCACTGGAGACACAGTGGCAAGTGCCACAGATACAGGCCCTGCCTTTGTAGCATTTACAATGTAATGGAGAAGACAGACCCGTGTAAGTAAAGGACAGTGTGGTCCATGTTGCAGAGGGAAAGCATGGGATACTATGGTAGAATGTAATGTGGGCCTTGACACTTCTGGTTTGCAAGAACAAAAATCACACCATCCTTCTCTTGTACATGCTGGGAGACACTTAAGTGGCATTACCAGTACCTTGATTCCAGATATGAGTTTCACACCTGGCTTGGGGGATTACCTCTTACATTTCTCTGGGGCATGATGGAGAAATCAGCTAGGAGAGAGTAGCTGGAAGCCAAAGTGGTGCCTCAGCAACAGCCTGTTACTATAAAGTCCAATTGATTGAGACAAGAGTTTGGTACAAGTTAAATAAATAGTTTTGCAGTGTCTCTGATCTTACACTATCAAAAAAATTTGAAGTTCATCTTGGGTGACTTCTCATGTCCTGCAGAAATTTTCGTACAGAGAATTACAAAACTTTAGTCCAGCCACCCTGTTTAATATGTTCCATAATGGCCAAAGCAGGAAACAGCAATTAGCAAATTCCTAAATATTTCTTTCACATCATGTCCCAAAGCTTCTTTTTTTTTTTTTTCCTTTTTGTCATTTTTTTTCGTGTCCGGCAATCCTTTTTGTCATTTTTTTTCGTGTCCGGCAATGGATCGCAACCCTCAGTGTCGCGCCCATACCGGACCGGGACCGGCAATGGGATCGCAACCCTCGGTGTTGTGCCCGCACTTCGCTCAGCCAGTGAGCGGGAACCGGTCTGTATGTGGGATCCGAACCCTTGGTGGGAGCGCCGCCGCGCTCCCAAGCGGCGCACTGTAGCAGTGCGCCACCGGGCCGGCCCCCCAAAGCTTCTTTATGTATGTAAGAGGTCCAGCCTTCATTACAGGCTTTTAGCAAATTAAAGCTACTAGCATTTTACAAGCATATTCAAATGCTCCATACATTGCATGTCACACCAAGACACCATGTACTTTCTATGGCATCTTCTCTAGTCAACATGAAGGCCTTAAACAAGTAGCCTTGAGACTAGAAGTACACATTAAGATAACACAGATGGATTTGCTAAGGCCGCAGAGAAATGCCACTGGGGCATTGTAGTATAGTGTCACTCTATATTAATGGTGTCAGGTCAAGCACTGCTGAAGTGAACTTGGTGGCATTCATGTTGTTTTGGAATTGTTGATAGCACTGTAGCCAAATTCAAAGCAGTGTTCCTGGGCCATTGTTTTCCAAACTTGTTGATTGCCTGGGGTGCTTCTTGAAAATGCACATTCCTAGTCCCCTTTGCATTCTGATTGTGTTCAGAAATAAGAAAATTTTATTAAGTACCTGTGAAGAGTCTTCTAATTGGGAAAATTTGAAAAATGATGCCTACAGCAATGATGGCTGGTTGAAGAGGGTAAAAGCATTCTAGGGGAATTGGGGGGGGGGACTTTTGAAAGTCTTATTTGGAACATGAAAACTATCCCTCATCCCATGTTTTCCTTGGTCCTTCGAGGCTAATGCATGGTTTCTTCTATTGGCTGCAGCATAGGGCAGAGGCAGCTGCTATGCCTGGGCAGGGCTCTGCTTCGGAAATCCAAGATTCTGGTCCTGGATGAGGCCACTGCTGCAGTGGATCTAGAGACAGACCGCCTCATTCAGGCGACCATCCGAAATGAATTCTCCCACTGCACAGTTATCACCATTGCCCACAGGCTGCACACCATCATGGACAGTGACAAGTGAGTGGAGGGGGGGCAGAACTTGGTAGCCACGGCTTAACCCTTGGTCAACGTTGTGGTGTCAACTATGAGATACCTTACAACAGAAGGCTTAACCACCATTATTTTACTGATGAAGAATCTAAGGCTTAAAGATTTCAAGTAATTTGGCCAAAATTACACATCAAGCTAATGAAAGCTAATAGGGCTAAGGGTAAAATAGGAAATTGTATGTGTAAGTATTAATGGAGGGCAGGGAGGTGGAGGCCCAAGTCACAAGTGGCAGATAGACCTTCCCAGTTATACTGGCCTCAGCTTCTGTCCCTTTAAAATGACCAGATGCTTTCTGTTCCTTCCAACTCTGGCAACTTGTATTCAAAGGTCAGAAATCTTAGAAAGTGTTTGGAGAGGATAGGCTCCCTATTTAAACCAATCCATCCTTAAACAGTATGTACTTTTATTTTTTATTTTTATTTTTTTTTCCTTTTTTGTCTTTTTTCATGTCCGGCAACGGATCGCAACCCTCAGTGTCGCGCCCGTACCGGACCGGGACCGTCAACGGGATCGCAACCCTCGGTGCTGCGCCCGCNCAGTGACAAGTGAGTGGAGGGGGGGCAGAACTTGGTAGCCATGGCTTAACCCTTGGTCAACGTTGTGGTGTCAACTATGAGATACCTTACAACAGAAGGCTTAACCACCATTATTTTACTGATGAAGAATCTAAGGCTTAAAGATTTCAAGTAATTTGGCCAAAATTACACATCAAGCTAATGAGGAGCGCCGCCACACTCCCAAGTGGCGCACTGTAGCAGTGCGCCACCGGGCCGGCCCAATAGTATGTACTTTTAAAAAGAACCCTCACACAAATGGACTCCCAGTACATGTATTCCTCTATTACTTGGTTCATTTTGTCTATATTACATGTGGAGTTCATCCATGTTGATGCACACAGCCATGATTCATTCATTTTCAGTGCTTTGTAGCTTCGCGTGACTCCACCACTACTTAATCCTGGTTATTCTTATAAATGCCAAGATTTGAGATGCTACTTTCTAAGACTGTTATTTATTTCTTTGTATGTGTAAGTATTAATGGAGGGTAGGGAGGTGGAGGCCCAAGTCACAAGTGGCAGATAGACCTTCCCAGTTATACTGGCCTCAGCTTCTGTCCCTTTAAAATGACCAGATGCTTTCTGTTCCTTCCAACTCTGGCAACTTGTATTCAAAGGTCAGAAATCTTAGAAAGTGTTTGGAGAGGATAGGCTCCCTATTTAAACCAATCCATCCTTAAACAGTGTGTCCTTTTGAAAAGAACCCTCATATAAATGGACTCATACTGCGTATATTCCTCTGTCACTTGGTTCGTTTTGTCAATATTACGTGTGGAGTTCATCCATGTTGATGCACACAGCCATGATTCATTCATTTTCACTGCTTTGTAGCCTTGTATGACTCTGCCACAACTTAGTCCTGGTTCTTCTTATAAATGACAAGATTTGAGATGCTACTTTCTAAGACTGTGATTTCTTTCCTCCTTCTTTCAGAATAATGGTCCTAGACAATGGAAAGATTGTAGAGTATGGCAGCCCTGAAGAATTGCTGCAAAACCATGGCCCCTTTTATTTTATGGCGAAGAATCTTAGAAAGTGTTTGGAGAGGATAGGCTCCCTATTTAAACCAATCCATCCTTAAACAGTATGTACTTTTATTTTTTACCCTCATATAAATGGACTCATACTGCGTATATTCCTCTGTCACTTGGTTCGTTTTGTCAATATTACGTGTGGAGTTCATCCATGTTGATGCACACAGCCATGATTCATTCATTTTCACTGCTTTGTAGCCTTGTATGACTCTGCCACAACTTAGTCCTGGTTCTTCTTATAAATGACAAGATTTGAGATGCTACTTTCTAAGACTGTGATTTCTTTCCTCCTTCTTTCAGAATAATGGTCCTAGACAATGGAAAGATTGTAGAGTATGGCAGCCCTGAAGAATTGCTGCAAAACCGTGGCCCCTTTTATTTTATGACCAAAGAAGCTGGCATTGAGAATGTGAACACCACAGCACTCTAGCAGCAGGTCCCACGGGTTAAAGAAAGACTGTAAGGATCATTCCTCATTTAACTTTATTTTTTGTGAAATGTATCATACATACAACAGTATGAATAAACTGTACATGTTAAGGAAGAGTGGTAAGTGAACACCCATGTTCCCACTACCTGGGTTAAGAAAATGAATATTACCAGGTCCCTTAGAAACCCTTCAATTGCTCCCCCTTGATCATATCTCCTACTACCCACCCATCCCAGAGACAACCACTGTCCTGAATTTCATGATAATTATTCCCTTGCCTTTCATTTTAGTTTTACCACCTTCGTATGTATCCTTAAACAATGCATACCTTTCAACTTATATAAAAGGACTGACGCACACGGCATGTATTCTTCTATGACTTGGTTCTTTTGTTCAATACTATATTTGATATTCATCCATGTTGGTGCAAATAGTGAGGTTAGTTAATTTTCACTGCTCTGTAGTATGGCATTGTGTGAAAAATACCACAGTTTACCCATTTTATTATTGGTGAGCATTAGGGTTATTTCCAGTGGGTTTTTTTTTTTTTTTTTTTTTTTTTTTTTTTCCTATTATGAACAATACTGCTGTGAACATTTTGAATCCTTTTCAGGTTGGTTACTGGTTCTTTTTATTGTCCCTTTGGAGGTGTCATACTTCCCTGATTTCTGGACCCTTATGGTCATAGGTTGGTGTCAGCTCATTTGAAGAAGTAGGGAGTTATTCTAGTCTTTGCAGACTGGTTTTGTCTGGGAAAGCTCTTCACCAAGTCAGCCCATCCAGAGATTCTGGGAAGGCCATCTGGTGTGGTCCCTGGGCAAGCTTGCTGTTGGAGTCCTGAGGAGGCTTGGGTGGTGCCTGAGTCATCAGGCAGGCAGGCCTGGCTCCTGAGTCTGCAGGGTTGGGCCTGAAGCCTGAAACCGCTTGGGTAGACCAATTGATTGGGTCCACTGGTGTGGACTTGTTGGTTTGATCCATGGGGGTGAGCCAGTAGCATGTGTCTCCAAGGGTGGGCCTATAGCTTATATCTATGGGGGCTGGCCTGAATCCTGGATCACCAGGGGGCTGGCCTGGTACTGGGATGAGCCTTGTCTGAGTCTGTGGAGTCTGCCCAGGTACTGGGATAGGCTGAATCCATAGGGGATGGCTGGCACTGTGGTATGCCTGGAGCCTGAGTCCATGGGGGCCGGCCTGGGCCCTACTGGGTCCAAGGGAGCCAGTGATGGGGTCCAAGGCAAGATTTAGTGCTCAATTCTTTCTCCTTGCACCCAGAGGGTATCTCTCTCCACTTTATGCTGCCTGGAGTTGGGGAAGGGATTTTGTGGTAATGTAAAACTGTCCTTCTTACAATCTCCAATGTATCTTCTCTTGTTTCCGTGGTACACCCAACTGCTGTAATCTCTCCTGGTTTCCTTAGCCCTCATGAATGTACTTTTGCATGTGGATGGTGGTTCAACTTGATGTTTCTATGGAGGGATAAGGGCTGGAATGTGCTATTCCACCCCATCTTGCTGATATCCAGATCTCATCTATTTTATTTTAGCCATCCCAGTGGATGTAAAGTGGTATATTTTTGTGATTTTGATTTGTATTTCCCTAATGACTAATGATCTTGAGAACCTTTTCATGTGTTTATTGCCCATTTGCGAATCTTCTTTGGAGAGATTCAAAGCCTCTTTTCAAATCTTTTGCCCATTTTAAACTTTGTCTTTTTATTGCTGAGTTATAAGATTTCTTTATATATTCTGGATTCAAGTTTTTTATCAGATATATGATTTGCAATATTTTTTTTTCTTATTCTGTGGGTTTTCTTTTCACTTTATTTTTTATTTTTTATTTTTTTTTCCTTTTTGTCTTTATTTACTGACCGGTAACGGGATCGCAACCCTTGGTGTTGCACCCGCACCACGTTCAACCAGTGAGCGGGAACCGGTCTCCACATGGGATCCGAACCCTCGGCAGGAGCGCCGCCGCGCTCCCAGGCGGCACACTCTCCAGTGTGCCACCGGGCCGGCCCTTCTTTTCACTTTATTGATGGTGTTCTTTTAAGCACAAAAGATCTCAGTTTTACTGAAATTCAATTTATCTTTATTTCTTGTCATTTGTGCTTCTGGTGTCATTTTAAGAAACTATTTAATAACCTGAGATTGTGAGGATTTACTCCTGTATTTGTTTTTAAGAGTTGCATCATTTTAACTGTTACAGTTAGTCATATAATCCATTTGTAGTTAATTTTTGTATATGGTTTAAGAGATCCAACTTTATTATTTTGTGTATGGATATCCAGTTGTCTTGGCACCATTGTGGAAATGACTCTTTACCCATTAAGTTGTCTTGACACATTTGTCAAACATCAATGGACCATAAATGTGATGGTTACAAAAGGCAATAGAAGAGTGGCATGCTAAGGCCTTGATTTCTCTTGCTTACCTACATCTTATTTGATCCCTTCACACCAATCTCCTACGAGATCTGTAGAGCCAGGAGGGGAATTTGATGGTGGGTGCTTTGGATGGGGAGAATGTGTGGGGGTGATGTCTACTGACTGGTAATAATCAGCTCCTTAGTGGTACATTCTCCATCCAGGACTTATTTCTGGGTTTCTCTTCCTCATAGCTTTAATCAAGAGTAGAACATAAGAAAAGGGATAAAAGACTTGAATCACACTGAGCACATAGTACTAAGCAGCCATGGTTAAGCCTTTTGCATACGTAATTTCCTTCTATTTTCCAGCTGGATGCACTGTTGCCATTCATTACTTTCCTGGTCTATCCTTTGCTTCCTCAAGCTAGAGCCCTGGAAACTACATATCCCAGAACTTGTGGCCAGCAGGATCAAAAAGAATGCAGAATTCATTACTATTCTAGCAAAGACAGGCAGGTGAATGGTCTTAGGCAAACATGAGTGTCTGTTGTGGTCTCTGGACATTCCCTCATGAACCATCTATGCTGCAGATAGACTTGGCGGTTCAGTCTGCAGGTACCAGCTTGGAGTGTGAGGCTATGGGAGCCTGCTTGGCACTGGGCTTTACTGGGGCTGGTCCAGTGCTGGAGTCCAAGGTAACATCCGGTGCGCATTCAGTCTTATTCCCCCACACAGAGAAGCATGTCTCTCCATGCTGTGTTGCCTGGAGTTGGAGGAGCAGTGATGCAGGTAAAATAAAACTGTCCTCCTTACCCTCCTCAATGTGTCTGGTCTTATTTCTTGCTATACCCAAGTGCTGTATTCTCTCACCTAGTCTCCTTAGCCCTTGTGAAAGCATTTTCATGCATTGACAGTTGTTCAAATTGATGTTTCAGCGGGGTAACAAGCACTGGAAAGTCCTATTGCACCACCTTGCTGTCTTGTTCTAGCATTCAGTATGTGTTACCTCATTCAATCTCTGCCACAACCCTATGAGGTGGACAGTACTCATATTACTACCTCTACTTTAGAAGAAGAAACTGAAGCATAGGTTACGCAAGTTGCTAACATCACAAAGCTGTTATGTGTCCCAAGCTAGTCTGGCTCCAGAAAAAGGTGTGCAGACTCAGCTAGAGAGTCTATAAGACCAAATTTAAATTCATGATCCATCAAAAACTTGACATATAACTTGGGCAAGTCAGAATGTCTTTGTCCATTTTCCTAGTCCATAAAATAGAAGAGTTGGCCTAGGTGACCTGTAAGTTTCTTTCCAACAGTTTACCCTCTACCACATTTGTTTTCTATTAACAATGTTGGGTAATTATTTCACTGTCACCCACATAGTGTCCTCAATCCCACCTCTGCCACTACTCTTGCTACTCCCTTCCCTGCCCCCAACCTTGCCCGAGCTGCTCCTGTATGACGTTTTTAGTTAATCTCTAGTGAATCAGTTTCCACATCTGTAATACTGGAAAAATACTTATCCCTTAGGGACGTCAGCTAGAGATTTCAGCTCTTCTCTTCTGCTAGTACGAGACAGCTTAAAATAAAGAGGCAGTCACCTGCAGCAGGTACATCTTTTGAGTATACAGAAATTCTGTGCATAGAGTTGACAAAATAAATTTTTGACCTGCATTTCTTCAGTTAGTATCTCCCATTCTTCCAGAATCTGGGCATCACTGAATTATCAAGAAGATACCTTCTGAGGCTGAGGAAAATGTTCAGGTTAAACATGGAGAGAAATCAAAACACACTCATGGCAATTAGAAATGCTTTTATTTATAAAATAACTACTTAAATATAAACACCTCTAAAAATAAACACTCTTCAGGAGAGACTCTTGGGTGACCATCTTCTGAGCATGATGAGCAGAGACCCTATGGATAAGGAGCCCACAGGTGTCTCCCTGATTCCCAGGAGTTTAGAACAGAATGTGCATGTGGAGGAGCAGAGGCTGTAAGGCTGTTCTCAATTCCCTTTCTTAAATTCATAATGTCCTGTTCCAAGGCAGGCTTCATTTTGGGGAAATCTTAAGAATAAGAACCCTGCTAAAACAGAACTATTTAGGGGAGATTCTTAGTGTAAGTGGTTAGTAAATGTCTTGCTGAAACAAGGAGAGGTTGTCGAGAGCCATACTTCTATGGAGAATGGCTTGGGAGCCTGAGGAGCAACACCCTTTGTTCAGCGAGGCTGCAGGGGGATCCCGTGTGTGTGGCATGGCTCCGTGGATTTTCCTACTTGTTCGCCTTTTGTTGCTTGACAAAGCTTTCCAAAATTAATAAGCCAAACCTTTTGGCTTGGCATGGCTTTGGGGAATTCCAAGGGCCCTGGAGTTTCTCAAAGGACATGTTAAATATGTATCAGAATTAATTGGTTTATTTGAAAGACATTGTCAATACTAAAGGTGTTGTAGATATATGTTCCTGGTATAGGATGGCTTGATTCATTTCTAGTATTGAACCTCCCTGTTAGACCGTGTGTGCATTGACCCATACTTTTGGAATAATTGGCCTTATAGCTGTGGCCATGCTCTTGTGCATGTAGAATGAAGTTATTGTGCTAAATTTCTATGATATCCTGGAAAGAAAATATTATTCTATAGTAATAATAAGAATGATGCACTGTACCTTAGTAAACTTGAAAAGGGTCATTTAACTTTTCCCTTTGTCCCCTGTGCTGTTCCCGGAGTTTATTGGCAGAGAAATGAAGAGTTTCGTTATAAAGATGAATAAGTTAGATAGTAAAAACACAAACAAATTTTGATATTAACAGGTTTTGTTTAAATCCGTT